GATAACCATGAGAAAATCAACTCATGGGTTTCCTTTTCCTTCCTATATGAGTATGGGGCTCCGCTTGGCGACCCTTCGGGGCGCCGGAGCTCCGTTAATATGTATACTTGTCAATGCCTATTCTACCTTAGGGAACGACATCAGCTGCAAAAGTTTACTTACCATACTTAGCTGTTTTGAATTGAAAATGTTTACCTGATCTAAATTTCACTAATAAAGCTTTTTCTTATTACTGATACATTAAATGTAAGCTAAGATCGTATAGTCTTCAATGCGCCTTACCTCGAAAGTGAGCACGGTGACCCGCCACTTTTTACCTTTGTGGCAAAAGTGGATCTTTTCCTCACTGCTTGGCAAGTTTGAAAAAAAAACTGTGCGTGGGATCATTTTGGTCGCGAACGTCCTTAACCCAGTTTGCGTCAACTTTGCACACAGTGTAGCGTAAATGTCAGCTTTAAGGACTTTTAATACAAGCGTAAAGTTGGAAGATTCAATTTTCCGTAAATCTCTAATTTTATTGTATGGAAAGAGACAAGACTCTTGAGAGAGACAACAATGTCTTTCTTTGTACTTACCCCAGATGACAGTGTCCATGGGTACCAACTCACCATTTGACTTGCTGTTTTGTCACCCTGGAGAAAAGTTGTATTTAAGGTGGCTTACTACAGTTTTGATGAATTATAACAGCCCAGCTTCTAAATCTTTTGAAAAATTTTCTAAGATGTTTTTCCGTTTTCTATTTAAAAATTGATGTCAGTTTTTCATGCGTCTGTCCTGTTATTGATCATGAATTTTGTCACAACATTGCCATTTACGATAACAAGTTGTCAAATTGTCCGCTCTCGCTCGTTGCCGCATCGCACAAATTATAAATTCATGTTTCTGTCGACTTATTGAAAATGAAAATTAGCCAATGAGTACGCGAGAATTTCTGCAGTTATCGTAAAATTACTGTTTGCTTAACTCTTTTATCATTCTGTGTGAAACTTGAACAATGACACCACTTCAAAATTTCAGGAATTGGAAATTGGCTCTGATTTAACATTCAAGAAAAGAAAAATAAAAATCTGCAAGGCAGATTTTTTGCAAGCAAAGAGAAATGTCAAATCAAAAATAGCTCAAAATCTGTCTTACCAGGAGCCACATACCGTAGCCTCTGTAGGCGCTAGCGCGAGCCATTTCTAGCATTGGGGCTGTCCCTGTAATACGGGACAATTTTTCTATTTAATAGAACAAATTGCGCCATCGCGTACGGCACACGCGCGTGCATACTGCGGGGAAATGGCGTCTGAAATTCCCGAGAGTTTTCATTGGCTGAGACATCATGGGATGTACAAGAATTGGTTCATGCTTTTAGATGTGCGTATATCGAGTTATGGATGCACTCGGGAAGTTTGGA